CCCAAAATAAATAATAATTTATACACAATAAAACTTTATAGTTATTTAATAAAATAAAATAATTTTAAGAAAAAAGTAAAATAATTATTTTTTTTTTTTAAAAATTATTTTTTAAATTTTTTAAAAAAGATTTTTTTTTCCTTTATTTTTTTCATTTTAATTTTATATAAATATCACACATCGATAAGTGTTTGGGGTTTTTAAACAGCCAAACAAACATTATATACTCTTTAAAATAATAATAATAAAAACAATATAGATTTAAATTATATGTATGTACATTAAAGAAATCATAATACAAACCTTATTACAGAAAGACAAAAAACGATAAACATTTAATAAACATTTACCCCCATACGTCATTCAACACTTTACCCCCACATTTAAATTATTTATTTTATAAAACTATTTTTTTTAAAATTATTTATTTTTTATTTAATTATCCGTTTTTTTTTAATAAAAATCTAACATAATAACTATTTTATTATTCAATTATAAAAATTAATATTAATCCAAATTTTCATTTTCATTTTTTTTCTCGTTTTTTTTTTTTTTTCGTTTAAAAAACGAAACTAAAGAATATAGATTATTTTTAGAAATGCAATCAATTGATAAAGAATTTAAAAAACCAAATAAGTATGTTTATATTTAAAAAGATAGTTTTTATGCACATTTGTATATTAATATTTACTTATAATAGCCATTTAAAAGAGATACCAGCTGAACCACCAGCAACAACTAAGCAAGAAAAAAGAAACGAATATAAGTTAATGAAAAATAAAAAGCCAAAAGATAAAAAAGTTACATATCAATCAAAAATGTCAAATCCAGAAGATAGATGGGGTTATGTTTAAACCCGAGCATAAATAATAACCTTTTTTTTTTTTACTTATATAATATATCAATAATCAATAACTAATAATAAAAATAATAAATAAACTAATAAAAACAATAGAAATAAAAACAACCATAGAAATAATAACAATAACAGTAATTATAAAACCCTCTGTACTATAGATCCAACACACATATCGATAATTAATCTTTGTATATAACCAATTTTAAATATCAAAATAATAACTAAACTTTAAACCAACGCGAAATTTACAATAAACTTTTAATAATATTACATATTTATATAATACAAAAAATAAAATATTTTATTTTTATTTATTTTTAAGTTTTTTTTTAATCTAAATTTGATGCAAAAGTTTTAATCGATTTAATCTCATATTCTTCATTTTGGCAACCTGATACCATAAAAAGACCTTTCTTGATTACTTCTGACAACTGAATTTCCTCTCCGTTAAATTTAATGATTGTAGTATTAATTGTGTCTTTTAAATTAATATTTAACAGCTTTGTAATCTGATTTAAAATTTGTTCGAATGATGAATTTTCTTCAGCATGAAAGCAATATTTAAGCATATTACCTTTAGTTTTATATATAAAAAATGAGTTGTTTTTTATTGACATTATTAGATTAGTTTGATAAAAAAAAAATAAAAAAATTATAGTTTTTTTAAAAATATCTTTTTTTTTTTTTTATTTTTTTTATTGAAAATAAAAATAAATTTAAAAATAATAACTATTAATAGTTTGAGGAATTCTTTGTAAAAAAAAAACTGTTCATTAAAAAAAACTTTATTTTTTTTTATATTTTTTTTATATTTCTTTTTTTTTTTTTTTTAATACATATTATATAATATAAATTGATTATTATTATTTTTATTCTAATTCTACACCACCTCTTGATTCAATATTATTGTTGTCTTTGTTTTCTTTATCTTTAGAACCTTTTTTACTGAGATTGACAAAAGCAGGGTGGAATGGAATCCAAATACACATTAATAAAAACATTGGTAATGCATCCAAACCATAGAATAATGGTTCATTTAACATAACTGCTGAATGATAGCCACCTGCATATTCAGCAACACGATAAATACTTCTTAAAATAATGAGAATACCGCTTGGGTATAAACCAAAAAATATAATTCTCCATTTTTTATCATCTTCTTGAACTTTGAGGACTTGGATATGTAAATAAATGATTAAAAAGAAAAACAATGAAAATGAAGCTAAAGCAATACATAAGCCAGTTAACATAACACCTTTAGCAGGCTTATCAAGCTTAGGATTGTCAGCTGTTTGTGCTAAAAGGGCACCACCAGCTAATTAAATAAATAAATAAATAAATAAAAAGATGTGTTAATATAAGGGGGAATAAGTTTATAATTATTATTATTATTATTTTACATACCAGATTGAACAATAATTGAGAAAATATCGATACCTAAAAATAAAAACTTAACTACATTTGGTCTGAAAATTGGATGTTTAATACCAGTTCTTTTCATAATTTTACCAAGTTGAGCAAATAAAAATACTGCGGCGAATGCAGTGGGTGGTAATAAAATTAATAAAGTAGTTGCAATATATATACCAAGTTCGTGTGGATTTTCAGCACTGGTAATACGAATACCATAACCTATTGTTTGCACTGCACCAGCAACACAGGCCACTAAAAAGTACCATTTCTTGTATTTAATTGATAAAAATGTTAGAATTAAGGTTGTAAGAGAAAAACAAATAATTGCTGCAATTGATAAACCTTGGCTTGGTTCATATCCATATAAATCTGGGTATTTAGGGGTATTACTACTAATACTACTACTACTACTACTACTACTCATTATTTATTATATATATATTTATTTTATTTTATTTTGTATTGTACAACTAGTTATTTATTATTTAGTTTATTATTTATTAGTTTTTAATTTTTAATATTTAAAATATGATTACTTTTTTTCTTTAAATATTTTTTTTTTCTATTGATTTTTTTTTTTTTAATTAATTTTTTTACATAAAAAAAAAAAGTTTGATAAAAATAAATATTTATTTATAAAACACAACCTTACAACAACAAAAAAATTAAGAAAATGAGTAAATGAAAAAAAAAAAAAAATTGTTAGATAAGAAAAACTTTTTATAAAAAAATTTTGTTGGGTTGCATTTTAGGAGGAAAAATAAGGAAATGATGTCGTTATTATTTTGGAAACATCCAACAAATTAAAAAAAAAAAAATTGAAAAAATTGTGTTTAAAATTTTTTTTTTTTTGGTTTCAGGTTATAGTATAATTTAATAATAGCACAATCTGTGCTTATCTTGCTATTTTTTTGCCACAAACAGTTTATGTATTAAATTTTTTTAAATTTTTAGAATTACTTAATTTTTTATTTTTTTTTTTCAATTAATTTTTTTTTTAATTTTTAATTTTTTTAAATCTTTTTTTTTAACTTCCAAAAAAATAATTAAAAAAAATAATTAAAATAAATAGAAATAAGTAGTTAATAATTTAAAATTTTTTTTTTTTTATTTAATCGTGGTTTTTTTGGAATTGAAATTAATTTTATTTTTTTCAATTAAATATTTATTTCTATTGGGGGTTGAATAGTTTCAAATTCATTATTACTTTTTCTGCTTTGCTTTCATGAAACAATTATTATAACGAGTGGTTTATCGGTTCCTTTTTTTTTTTGGTTTCCCTAATTGAATTTCTTTTGATTGATTATTTATATATTTATTTGATTATTTGAAGTAAGGATAATATTTGGAATGGGCATTGAACGATAAATTTTCTTTTTTTATTCATCATGGCATCAAATAAAAAATTTATTTATTCAAAATAAAAGATATTTTTCGAAAATTTTATTTTTTTTATTTTTTTCATTTTTTTTTTTATTTTTTTATTTTTTTATTTTATTTTTTTTATTCAAAAAATATAAATTAATAATTAATAATTCCGTAAAAAAAGCTGTAAATTAATATAAATAAAAATGTATAATAATAAATTGTTGGTTATATTTATTTTATTTTTTATAATATTTAGCGATATTGGTTATTGTATCAAAACTAAATTTAATTCTATTCATAACCATAAATATAATAATAATAATAATAATCATATATCAACAACAAAAGAAGAGTTTTTGGATAAAATAGAAGAATATATAATCAATGGTGATAATCTTTTAAGCGGAAATGAAGAGTTTGAAGGTTTAGATTTTAATCAAAAGAGGGCTATGCAATATCTTTTTAAAGATTCACTTGAGCGTATTAGACAAAGGGTTTTAAACAATGGTAGACCAGTGGTTGAAGAAAACAACAGTAATTTAGAATTTAATCCACCATTATATAATCAAACTGTAATAGATGCATTCGAATCAAAAACATTGTTAAATCCATTAGACGATTTGGATTACAACCCATATAAAATCGAAAACTATAACTATACACTAAACAACTCAACTGTATGTGGTTTATATTATACAAACCCAAACGATCGTTCGACTTATTACCTTTATAATTATACATCTGCAGAAGAGGCAGTAGAGTCTGGAGCCTATGTTACACATCTTCATCATTGTGGATATTGCTCAACTACTAAAGATTTATCATCCTATATGGCCCATATGGATTTAACATCACCAATTAGAGATTGTGCCATTGTTACTTTTGTATCCGAAGAAATATCTTTGGATTGTATTCAACATTCAGCTGGTTTTACCCATAACTGTGCTTTAATTTGGTTATACGATGCTCTTAATACCAGAAAGGATTGTCTCGATATTTGCCTTTATGATTGGATTATGCATGTACCCAATAATGTTCCTGCCAATTCCACTACACTCAGCCCTTGTATTCAATGTGATGAGGATAAAAGTGGTCCAATTTTCAAAGCAGTAGCTGCAAGAACCCGTAGAGATAGTGGTTTGAAGAGTGCCATCAACAGACCTCCAGATTCAATTTATAATATAACACATTATTATTATTAAATATAAAATAAAATAAAATAAAATAAAAAAAAGATTTATTTATATATATTTAGAATTAATAATTATTAGTTTTGTTAAATTTATAAAATATTACATATTATAAAAAAAAGAAAATATGTGGAAGAGTTTTGAATCCCTACCTTTATTACAAATATTGTTCTAAAACTTTAAACTCAATAGAATAAACCAATAATAGTTTTTGTTTTTTTTGTCGTTATTTTAAAAATTTATAAAAAGAAAAAATCTAAACGAATATTTCTGATCAAAAAAATTTATTTTTTTTTAATTTTTTTTTCAAATTTTTTTCCTGTTGATTTCAATGGAATGGTTTGTTCTTTTTTTTTTTTTATAATTTGTGCAAATTTTAAAAAATGAAAGTTAAATTATTTTTATTTATAATTTTAACTTTTCTTTGTAGCAAAGGTGTCGTAAAGTCTGATGAGTTAAATTGTTTGGCGCTTATATTTTTAAACCTTTTTCAAACACCCATTACAGAAACAAATATATTATGCACTGGAAACCTTCTTATAAATAAAAATGGTTATAGTTATGAATCTTATTGTGAAGATGGCATTAATTTAACAGAATTGTATAAAACATCTATATTTTATTTTTATTTTTCATTTAAATTTTATATTAATATTTATTATTATTAATTTTTTATTTTGCAATATAAAGGTTTATAAGATCAATTCCTCAAAATGGTTTATCGGGGCCATCAGTGGGTTATAGCGATTTAAATTGTTTTTTACAATTATCAAAACTAGAGTTAACAAATATTTTAATACAACCAGATGCATTTGGAAAATATAATGAAAAAAAAGTTGCCAATAGATTGCATTTATATAATAACACTTTTGTTGAGGGTAGAATATCATCTGCATCAAACTCAATTTCTCAAACTACAGAATTTATTGTAATGACATATAATAAAAATTCAAATTTACTTTTTCTTGATTTAAGAGAGATTAAAAATTTAAAATTTTTGTGAGCATCTTATAATAATTAATTAATTTTTTTCCCCTCAAAATATTAACTCTGTTTTATAATAAATTAGCCAGCTTTTATGTAGAGATACCTTAACAAATTATCCAGTAATAGAAAACACTATCGATCCTTTGGATACCAGTATTATATTTTTTTCAAACTTGTAAGTACAAATTTCTAGTTTTTTATTATTTTAAATTAAATATTAAGGTTTTTAAAAAAAAGATATATAGCAACAAATATGGTACCATCACTATCTAATATTAAATGTGAAAATGTATTTATACAGTTAGTGAATGCAGGATCCACTATTTCATGGAGTAATTTTGATACTTTTCAGTCTGTTCGTTCATTGAATCTTTATTATGATGATGATATTTTTTATCCCACTTCATTGGCCAATAGTGGAATTAAAGTCTTATCATTAGGTGGTGTGGCTGATGCTTCACCAGTTGGTCTATTAAAAGCACCATCTATAAAACTACCTCTTCCACCACAACTTGAAACTTTGTCCATTGCAAATTCACCCGATTTTAATGTAAATGGAGACCTACCCTTTAGTGAATATCCAAACACTCTAGATTATATATCTTTTGGGAACTTGGGTATAAAAAATTTCCCACTTTATCTACCATCAAATATTGTAAGATTGTAAGTTTAATTATATATATCATCTATTTTTTTTACTTACAATTTTTATACAATATATAGACTAATACTTGGTAATAATTTTGCAATAAATGGACCAGTTTCATTACCAGATCTTTCAATGTATAGTGCTCTCTATTATCTAAATTTAGTTGATTGTGGTTATACATCAACAATACCAGAATCATATGGAAAATATAGGGTAAGATTAAACGACAATGATATCAGTGGTTATTGGCCTCAATGGGCAGTGTGTTATAAAGAAGAATATGATGAATGTTTTGACAATAACCCAAAATTAATTCAAGGAACTTGTGGTAAGTGTTTCATTTTAACAAATTATGAATGAAAAATAAAAAATCTAAATTAATTTGCTTTATTTTTATAACTTTAATAGAGCCTGGATCAATTGTACCAAATGTTTTAGAATATAATATACTTAGTGGGATTTTAAAGTTAACAGGTAAAAATCTCGGAATCAATGGTCCAGTTCTTAAAGATAGTGGTAAACAGTTTACTGTAGAGGTAGCACAAAGTTCATATTATTTGGATTGGGACTCAAATAATTTAGGGCCTTTACCAGAAACTCTTCAAATTTATTTTGGTTATCACGAATTCGCAGTTGCAACTAAAGTATTTATACCAAATTTTGAAATTCAAGCTATTACAAAACTTGGTAAAAGGTATATATTTACTGGAATTAACTTCTCTAATGTTAAAAGTGATTTCAAAATTTTAGTTTCCGGTATTCAAGCTACAATTTACTATATAGATTTTAATAAAATTGAAATTGAATTCAATTCTCAAGAGCCATTGCCTTTAGGCCAAGATATTCCTGCAACTATACAAAATGTCATTACGAATCAAATTATTAAATTTACAATTAATACACTTGATGATAAAACAACCAATGTTCTTTCATGTGCATCAGATTGTGGAAGTGACACAGGGCTTGGTAAATGTTCAAGTAGCACAGGCAAATGCATTTGTTTAACTCCAAATTATGGTGGTGATCAATGCAAGGCTATTACCCAGTTCTTATCATCTGCTTCGTCCACCCCAACCGAAGGTGGTTTAGTAAATTTATATGGTTGGTTCGGTGATTCCAATAGTAACTTTAATGTTAAAATAGGTAGCTCAGATTGTCTTTACCATTTCGTTAATAGTACTTTCTCTAACTGTACAATTGGCCCAGGTTTTGGTACACATTCAGTTACTATTTTCCAAAACGGATTTACATGGGTTGGTCAAAATATGTTCCACTTTGATGAAATAACCTTTAAATGTCCTAAAAACTGTTCATCAAATGGTCAGTGTATAAAATCAAAAGGCCAATGTAAATGTTATAGCGGATGGGGTGGTTATGACTGCAATTCAAAAACATCATCTGATTCATCTACAACAGGAGGCTCTACAACAACCACAACTGGCGGAGGTAGTTATGAAACTCCTTCACCAACTCCTTCACCAATCGAAATTCCCAAATCAAATATAACAATTAACGAAACAGTTGGATCAACAGTTATTTCTAATCAACAAACCGAATATGAAATCTCAATTTTATCATTAGTTGAATTAGATATTTTGGATAATATTGTTATTATTCACAATTTAACAAATAGTTGGAGATATGCAGAAATCAATAGCAGCAATACTTATAAATTTAAACAGACTATTCAAGAGGTGTGCACAATAACCTATACTATTGAGGATATAAAAGCATCAAGAGATTACGAGTTTGCAGGTTTGGAGTTAACTTTAGAAAAAGATTCAATTAAAATAACAATAACTATCGAAAACTATCCATTTACAAGTGCTCTTAACAAACTTCAACTTAGACTAATATCATCTGTTGGTGATAATAAGGAATCTTCTCACCAATCAAATAACGAATGCAATAACCAAAATACCGAAATTGATTCATCACAAATAGATAAAGACCAATTATTAAATTATGTAACCATTTCAAAAAATCAAAAATTGTTATACGGTAGATTCATTAATAGGGTACTCAGTGACACAAGAAAATCATTTATAACAACATCATTAATCTCTGCGACAAATAGTAGCAACAAAGATTCATTTATTATTGGTCTTAATTTACCACATTTCACCACATCATTAACAATCGACCCAGATTTTTCAGTTCTTGTTTCATCATCCTATAAAAAATGTAATTCCAATGATACTGTTAAACGTGCAAGTTGGGTATTACCAGTTGCAATTGTAGTTCCATGTGTCGCTGTAGCCACGCTCGTTATTGTTGGTGCCGTTTTATATAGCAAGAATCGTACAAAAATTCTATTGGCCAAAAACAAATATAAATTTACATTTGAATTGAAAGCAAAAAACAAAGACGATTTATAAATGTCAAGAAGCGAAAAAGTATAAATCAAAATTGTATAATAAAATAAAAATTTAAAATTTATATTATATTTTATAAATTATTTGTTAATTTTATTAAGACAATATTATATTTTTTATATAAAAAAAAATAATTTTTATAGAGTGGGGGATGTATAGTGGTAATTATAGAACAAAACACATATTCATTACATTCACCCACTAAACATTATACCTATATAATAAAACCTACATTTGTCCATCTAAATTATAAATTGTTGCAAATTAAAAAATATGAAAATTAAAAAAAATTTTGGCGGAAAAAAAAAAAAAAAAAAAAAAAAAAAAAAAAATATGCTATAATCAATTAATTTAGTGTTTATCTGCTTACTGAATTTAATTCAATATTATTATTAACATTGTAATAATAATTATTTTATTTTATTGGTATACAGTTATAATACATAGTTATAATTATAACTATTTTAAATGAATTTTAATATTGATGATTATCATTATTAAATTTTTTTTTTTATATAACCACACAACACCCAATTTTTTTTTTTTTTTTAAATTAACAATTGTGATGGTTATTGTTGTTGTGTTTTATAAAATTTTAATCCTGGCAAGGATATTTTCAAAATTTAAAAAAAAAAAAAATAAAAAATATATATGTAAAAACAACAATTTTTGACATTTATGACACTCCGTTATAAATTATTTTTTTTTATTTATTTTATTTTATTTTATTTCTGACACTCTCTATCTACCAAAATATAATTCATTTCAATATAAAATTAGAAAAAAACAAAGTTAAAAAATGAATTGTTTTTTTTTTTTTTTTTTTTTTGTTTTTTTGTTTATGTAAAATAAAACATATAACTAGAAATAATTATATTATTTATTATTTTATTATTTTATTTATTTATTTATTTATTTAATTATTTAATTATTTGTATTTTTAAAAAAAACAAAAATTATGGGTAATCAAAAAGAAAAAGATGAAACTGAAGAAATAAAAAAAATCAATGAAGATCCATTACCACCATCACCTATTTTACAATCAAATCTAAATCCAATTTCAAATTCTACCACTACCACCACCACTACAACCACCACTACTACAACCTCAGCATCAAGACTGCAATGTTCATCAAATAGTGATATAGAGATTGAAATGAAAGAATTGCAAAAAGAGAATGACGATGGATCAATAGATATTATTACACCAAATTTTTACCCAATACCTGTAACTACATCATTGGCAATACCCCCACCAACATTGGATTTAACAGCAAATTATAAACCGTGTCCATTCGATAATGGTAGTGGAGTATGCGAATTACACAAATTTGCAAACCAAAATCCCATTCAATTATATTATATGGATACTTTAACAGCTACTGACAATCTTCCATTAAATCTTTCAAAACCATCAGATATTAAAATACAGTTACCTCCTCCTGCACCCCCTCCAAATTCTTCAATAACAGATGAAACATCACAAACCCAACAAGAACAAAAAAAAAATGAAGAAGAATTGGAACTACAAAGAACTAAAAAAAGGAAAATTAAAACCATTTTAATATCATTTATTCCATTTTTAACAATTGCTATCATTATTGCACTAATTTTGATTTTTAATAGAAATTTATTATTTAAATAATCACACAAAAAAAATAAATAATAAAAACAGAAAAGAAAATGTGTCATTAATTTTGTATATATAACTAAATAAAAACAATCAATTATTTTATTTGAAATTTTCCCTCCATTCGTTTTTTTTTTTTTTTTTTCAAATTTTTTTTTTTTTTTTTTTTTTTTTTCAAAATTTTTTATTTTTTTTTTTAATTTTTCATATTTTTTTTTATTTTTATTTATAAAAAACACAAACACACACATTTAACAAATAAAATTTTTTATTTTTAAATTTTAAATATTTTTTTTTAATTTTTAATTATATATTATTTAATTCCATAAAGTGTATAATAAATATTATAATAATAAAAAAAAATAAAACATTAAAAATCAAAAAAATTTTTTTAAAATTTTTTTAAAATTTTTATATATAAATACATAAATATAACAATAATAATATATAAATAAATATATAAATATATACAGCTATAAAATAGATAAAGAATGAGTGAAGATAATAAACCAACATCAAGAATATCAAGTGTAAAGAAAAAACTACAATCAGCAGGATTAACAGATCAGCCAAGTGGCACCCAAAGAGTTTCAAGTATTGTAGCAAAGTCTAAAGATCCATCAAGTTTAACAAATTCAACTAGTGGTTCATTACTTAGAAAGAAATTAACAAATACAATTGCAAGTAGTGGTTCAACAATCGCAAATAGTCTAAAGCAAACTGATGATGAAATTAAAAAAACAAGAAGAAAATCATTTGGTGAACAAAAAGAAAAAGAAACTTCTCCAACAATAACTACAACCACTATTAATACCACAAGTAAATTAAAACCAAAATCAACTTTAACTTCATCTACTATCGGTAAACCATCATCATCATCATCATCATCATTATCAAATAGTAAACTTTCAATTACCCCATCATCTACAACTTCCAAATTAACTAAATCAACAACAGCAGCTGATCAAAAAGAGAAAGTAGTAACTAAAAAAACATCAAGTGAAGAAAAATCAACAGCATCAACTTCAACTATATTACCACCAGCACCATCACTTTTATCATCAGTTATATATACTAAACCATTAAAAGATAGTGATGATAATAAAAAAGAAACAACAGCTACCACAACCACCACAACTACAAATACCACCTCTACACCAACAACACCAAGTATAAATAAAGTTGTTAAAAGTTTAAAACGTAAATCAATTGAATCTGGTAATATTTTCCAATTTGACCAAGCTAAAGAAGAAGCAGTTGCAGCAATTATAAATACTGAAACTCAAATTAGTAAGGATAAATCAGAAAAGGATATCACCAAAAAGAAACAAAGAGTTACAATCAATAGTGATGAGGAGGATGATCAAGAAGAGTTTGAAGAGTCAGGTTTAAAGAAAAAGAAATCAAGTAAATCCGGTGAAAAGAAGAAGAAATCCTCATCTAAAAAATCAAAATCTACCGAAGATGAAGCCGATATGAATGAAGAGGGTAATGAAGAAAAGAAAAAGAAGAAAAAGAAAAGAGTTTCAACTATTATATCAACATCCACAACTGGTACTGAAGAAGTAGAATCACTTTTCGATGGTTCTTCAAGTGTTATCGGAACTACATCAAACGTTGCAACTAAAAAATCAAAATCATATCCAAAAACTCCACTTCCAAATAAAATTAAATCATATGATGAAATTATGGAGGAACATGATGAAGAAATTGCACAACAACCACAACAACCAATTCAAACCAATAACAGCATTAATACCGCCACTATCACCAACCAACCACAATATTATCAACCACCAACTAAAACACCATCATACTTTAACGATAAATTTTCAAATAGCTCAAATAGAAATAAAAATGTTTACTATACACCAAAAAGTGCACCAGCCACACCAAATACCACATCACAATCCATTCATAACTATCCAGAAAGTCCATCTCCAGCAGCAGTAGCTAATGGATTCGAATATTCCGATTCACCAATTACCATTCCAAATATTTCAAATATTTCATTTAATAGTGACCGTGACATTTCATTCCAAACCGATGAACAATTTTTAAACGCCGAAGCTGACGAAGACTACGATTCCAAAAAACAACTTAAATTTGCACAAAAACAAGAAAAGATGAAAATTATTTCAAATTCAAAATTGGGCGAATCAAAGCTAAGATATGTTTTACTTGTCATTTCCTTTGCAACATGGTTCTATTTATTATTCCTTTTATTTTCTTTTTTTTATCATTTTAACGATCCAATTTTCTGTGATACCGGTGTAATTCCAAAGAGTAAGTATTTTTTTTTTTTAATTTTAAAAAAAAATCATAAACAATTTAATAATTGACAAATCTTTTTTTATTTAGAATTTGGGGATAAATTAAGTTGTATTCCATGTCCAGATAAAGGTATTTGTATGAATGGTTTATTTGATTCATGTATCGATGGATATGTACCAAGAGATAATGAATGTATTTTAAATCCAAATAAAGTAGAATCATTAGTATCAACCATCAGTCAAATTGATTTAATTCTTCGTGACAGAAGAGGTCTCTATGAATGTGGCTCCAAAGATACTTTCCATATGACTGCTGACGAATTAATGAAAGAAATTACTAAAAGAAATTGGTTCTCTAAAAATAAAGCTATTGAATCATTCAACACTATTCTTGACTTTGTCGATAATAGAAGGGATTCCGAAGAAATTGGATTAGATTCAAAATTATTATCACCAATTAGTGTAACATTCGAAGATGAACAATTTAAATATTATACAAATAATCAAGGTATTAGACCATTATGGTGTCAAGTAAGTTTAAACTTATTATTATTATTATTATTATTATTATTATTATTATTATTATTATTATTATTATTATTATTATTATTATTATTATTATTATTATTATTATCATTGTTTTTTTACTAAAACCCATTTATCTTTTTATTATTATAGACAATGTTTTTCTTTAAAAACTTAATTAAATCAAACTTACATTATATTGGTATTGTTATTATTGGTATTTTAACATTTAAAGGTTATCAATACAATAATAAAAAGAAACAAGAAGAATTATTAGCTATCGATTTTTATACAAAGAAAGCCATTAGAGTACTTCAAGAGCGTAAAGAATTTGAAGAATCATATGTTTCAGAGTTGTTTTTAAAGGATGAGGTTGTTGGAACTACCGACGATAAGAAGTTAAATAGAATTTGGACCAAAGTTTTAGAAAAGCTCGAATCAAATGTTAAAATTTTAAATACTGTTAGATACATCCACGGTGAATCAAGACCAACTTTTGAATGGGCCGATAATAAAACTCCAAGAAAATCAATTCAATCTCCAATCGAATTTGACCATGACGAAAAATCAAAAGATTTTGGTTATGAACAACCATCATTTGATGATTCATTTAATTAAATATTTCATATCATATATATACAAAAAAAAAATAAAAAAAATAAAAAAAAAATAAAATAATCAATTAAATTATCATAATTAATTATATATAAAAAAAAAAAAACTTTACTTTTAAAAATACAATACAAATCATATTACTATTATTTTTTAGTTTTAATAAAAATTAATAGATCTATGATTATCATTTAAAATTTTATTTTAAACTTTAACACCACATGTGGAACAATATTTGGCTAATACGCTAAGTGGAACTTTACAACCTGAGCATTGTGGATTTGATTTATTAGTATTGGCTGTTGTTGAGTTGGTATTATTATTATTATTTGTATATTTTATTTCTTTGTTTAAAATTTTTATAATAGTTTGATTATTATTTGCATAGTCAAAGGATGAAATACCAAGATTGTCTTTTTTGTGTGGATCTGCATTATAATCTATTAATAATTGAACTAATTGTGGAATTTGAGACTTTGCTGCCATCATTAAAGGTGTCTTTCCAGAGTTGTTTGTTGTACCAAAACTTCCACCATTCTTTAATATTAATTCAACAGTTTCGATCTTTTGTTGGATACTTGGAGAGGATAAAAAGCCATCACCTGAATTTGGTAAATTTTCGACCATTGTTGACAATGATTCACACAAAGAGTATAATGGTGTATCTAATAATTTATCTTGTCTATTTACATTTGCACCTTTTTCTATTAAATATTGTGCTACACTCTTATGTCCTGATAATGCTGCTTTAAAAAATGGTGTTCTATTAGAGTTGTCAAGTTGGTCGATTCTACATCCTGCTTCAACTAATAATTTTACAATATCTATGAATCCATTTCCGGCTGCTACATGAATGGCTGTGTTGCCATTTTCTGAATTATATTCGTTGATATTGATACTTTTATTCTTTAATAAATCTTGAACTCTTAATGTTTCACCATTTGCAGATGCTTGAATTAATTCATTTTTAAACATTTTTTAAAATATTTAATATACAATTAAAATATAAAATGGTGTAATGTATTTAAAAATAAATCAAAAAAATAAAAAAATAAAAAAATTAAAAAAATAAAATTTAATATAAAAAAAAAAAAAAAAAAAAATAAATAATATTTTTTTCAAATAAAACACACTCCCAACCCATCATTTTTAAAACCAAAAAATATTTGATCAAATAATTAATTTTTTTACTTTTTAATATTTTAAATTTTTGGAGTGAATAAAGAAATGATATTTTTTATTTTTTTATTATTTATATAATGAACGGAAAATATTGTCTGGGTCGTGTTCATTTTTGATTTTACGTAGTTTGGTAAAATTACTACCAAATACAATTCTCATATCAGTAAGATAGGTTGTATTGATATAATGACCTGCTGTATATGGTGATAAATCTTTAATTGAATTTTGAGTCCATTGTTTAATAGATTGATTGACAGTAGCATCACTGGTGAGTACCGAGGTATAGAAAATATTGAAAGTAGAATTTCTAACTGGGAAAGCACAGTCACTAGTAGAGAGTTTGTTAACTTGACCACCCAATTCAGTAATAATAATTGAAGAAAAGGTTTGCTTAATACGCGAGGCCATATGAGAGAGGATTAAATCGGCAACATCTTGGGTGATGGTTGTTTTTATTAAAGGACCTTCTTGATAATATTTACCCGGCATAATTAAACCATCAAATTCAAATTGTAAGTTGGTGAATGGAATTACAGAGATTGAGGCGGTAGTCGGGTTTGTTGCATTTTGAAAATCTTGTATTAATTGGGTACCTAAAGTTGGATTATTTGCACCATCGAGATAAACAGCCTTTATTAATACTGAATCGGATGTGGCACCGGGGTTAATATTGATAATATAAACCAGTTGATCTTTTGTTGGATATTGTAAATGTCTTGTACCAACTTGAACAAGTGCATCTCTTGCGAGGGTATTGTTTGCACTAATATCGTAGGTAAATGTACCTATAACAATGTCACTAACTGGATAGCACTTGAAAGTAAAAGATGTAACCACACCGACAAAACCAGCTGCTCCTCTAATTGCCCAAAATAAATCACGGTTCTTATTTGAATTACAACGATATTTTAAACCATCTGCTGTAACAATTTCGGCCTCAACTAAATTATCGCAACTAAGACCATAAGGTTTAGTTAAGTGGCCTAAACCTCCACCAGTACTAAAACCACCGACACCGATTGATGAAATTTGGCCTAATGGCATTGCAAGACCGTATTGTGAAGTAATTTCATCAATATCATGAAATGTACAACCGCATTCTACTTTTACAGTTTGGTCACGTTCATTTACAACTACTGATTTCATTAATGAAAGATCAAGAGAAACACCCCCATCAATTGCTGAGACAATATTATGGCCACTGGTTTTGATTGCTATTTTCAAACAATATTCCCTAACAAAGTTTATAGTTTCTTTAACATCATTAGCTGAAATTGCTCTAACAATAATAGTAGGTTGATTAATTGGATCCTGATCCCATCTATCATTACAAAGAGTTTCATAATCTTGGTCACCTTTCATATAGCATTTTCCTTTAATTTTTTTTCTAAATTGATTATAATTTGGTTTTTTAGAATCATAGTTAATATTATTTAATGATTCAGATTCATCTAATGATAAATCATTAATATATTTCTGAATATTATTTTGATTTTGGTTTTGATTTAATAAATTAAAGCTATTTTGGTTATTTCCATTATTTGAATTGTTTTCGTTATGATTGTGGTGATGGTGATGAATATGATGATGGTGATGGAAATGATGTTGGTGTTGGTGAATTATATTTTGAGTTGTTGATGTTGAGTTATTAGTTAGCTTTTGTTCAACCATCATTTCTATTTGTTTAAAGTCGATCATTATGAATAAAAGTTACAAAGTTATAATGTATTGTGTAAAAAAAATATAAATAATTGAAAAAAAAAAATAGTTTTAGATTTTAAAAAAATTTATAAAAAAAAATTAAATTTTTTTTAAATTTCTATCGATGATAATTTTGATTTTTTATATTATTTTTTTTTATTTTTTTTAAATATATTTATATTTAATGTAAAATAACTCTGAACTTCATCAATTAAATTTTCATATACAAAAATTACCCTTTTCCACAACCCAGTCACTAAATTGTATTGCCCATTCATATATTTACCTCTTTGATTTTTTTTTTTGAGATAATGCTTGCATCTTAAACTTTAAAATGTTTTACATTGGAGTGATCTCCATATTGGGTTTTTATTTAAAAGATCAATAAATCAATAATCAGTCTTCAGTTATTAGATAAAATTAAACATTTTATAATAATTAATAGTTAAAATCAATATAGTGCTAAACCAAAGGCGGTCCTCGTAAGGTGCTAACAGTAACACCCAAATATCATCAACTTATTTTCATATGATTTCTTTATTTCATTCAGGTTTTAAATTTTTATTTTCTTTTGGATTTAAATCGTCAGTTAATTTTCACACCAGTTTTATTTAAGCTAATTTTTAAAATAAACATTACAAATAATATTTTTAAATAAAATAATTTTAAAATAATTTTATATATTTATGTTTTTATAATTTTATTTTTTTATTTAAAACACCCAATAAATACATAGATAAATTAAAGTTAAATGTTAATTATGGAAAAAAATAATTAAATTAATCTTTATTAATTTTTTTTTTGAATTTTTAATTTGAATCTATTATTTTGATGTTTATTTACAGAACATATAGAAGTAACTCTGTAACATCGGTATTATCCGTTTTAATAAGAATTTTTTTATAAAAAAGTATAAAAACTGTGTATGGCTATAAGTCTGATAATATATCTGTTTTTCCTTTTTCACAGAGTTATATATAATAAAGCGTAGATAATAGTTTCTTTTTGACTAAGTGAATATTTGCAAACCCAAACAATGATGGACCTCTACTTTGAGCATACTTTTGAGCTTCATGTTTACTAATTACTGAGAGTGGCTGAAGACTGATTACTTTTGGGTTTTTTTAATTTTTTTAAAATACTAAAAAATTAAAAATGTAGTAATGTGTAGATTAAAATTGGGTTATACTATTGAAAAATTATAATAAATGTGATTTTTTAATAAATAAAAGGTGAAAAGATGATTTTTAATGATTAATATAAATCTATTTAAAAATAATAAAATAGTAATATTTACATAGAATAAAAAGAACCCCAATATTTGAAATGTGACTTTAAAATGTGTTCATACTGAAAAAGAACCCCAATGTTTCATATGAATGATTTGAAAAAAAACAATTGAAAAGAATAAACTATACCCCCAATGTATAATTAATGATTTTAAATAAAATGTTGAAACTGAACAAGAAAGAATTAAAATTAAGCTAAATAAGTATTAAAATTAAATATTAGTTTCTTTTATATTCAAATTTAAAAATAATTATTCTAATAATATTTACCTTAAAAATACAAATACCCCAATGTTAGTATTAAATAAAGAACGTGATTATAATGAAAGAGAAATATTATATTTAAACTATATGAGACTGAAAGAGAGAGAGAGAGAGAATTAATCTAAATATGAAATAAATATTAGTTTCTTTTATATTTTAATAATTATGTTAATATAATCATTGTATTTACTTTGATAAAGCAATTACCCAAACATGGCAACGTGTTGATTTGAGAAAGAATTAAATATTGAGCTTTTTGATATGAAAGAGAAAGATTCAAACTAAAAACGTGTTGAATGAGAAAGAATTAAATATTGAGCATTTTGATGTGTATGAGAAAGATTTAAACTAAAAATGAATAAAAAATTGGTTAAGTTTATATTCATATAATAATTATTTAAATATTAACATTATAGTTACCTTAGGGAATGAAAGCGCATATATATTGATGTTTAGTATAGAACATGGTTATAATGGAAGATAAAGCATTATAATAAAACTATATAGGAATTAAAATTAAATATTAGTTTTTTTATATTCAAATTAAATATTATTTATGTAAATATTAACTTAATAGTTACCAAAAGAGAACTAGTACATGAAACCTTTGGAACTTTTTAAACCTTTTTTTGAAGAGTTGAGGATAATGCAATGAATTGTAATGTTTGTCCAATGATGTTGTTTTCTGATACTGTTTGATTTCATTATTATCCCATATATATAGAGTATTATTGATCTAGGTTAAAATCATCTAATTGGTGGCCAGCTAATTGATGACGATTAACCAAAGAGTCTATATTTTCCCCATTTATTGGAATATTGTAATCGAAATGTTATTGGACATCCATTCTGTTTAAAGTGTTATTTATATTATTAATCTATGTTCATAGCATCATATGTTAATCCCTCATTTTGATTATCTCTCTACAATTAAATAATAAATTAAATTAATATATGTATTATTAATAAAGTATAAATATGAATGTATGAATAACTTACTCTAATATTTGAAATTGGTTGTCTGCAAGTTGGACAGGATCTAGTACGAGAATACCATTGAGTAATGCATGCAAAGCAAAATTTATGTACACAATCAATTGATGCACTATTAATGGCCTCTACCTGATTAAAGCAAACTGTGCAGATGTTTTCGTTTTCATCTTGTTCCATTTGATCTGGTTGACTTTCTTGTTGCAATCTAATTTGTTGTAATCTTTCCTGTTGCAATCTTAAAGTTTCAAATTGTTGTCTACGTACCCTTTGAATTTCTTCTTGTGTTTGTGGTTCTTGGGCACGTTCTCTGTTTCTTTGTTCTCTTTCTGAATTTCTTCTATTTGCCCTTTGTTGAAGTAATACATCTAACCTTTCATTTAATGAATTTAGGTAACGATGATATTCACGGGCTTCTTCCAAATTCATTTGTTGTTGCTCTCTTGCAACTCTTTGTGATCTTTCTAATTCTAATGCTTCCCTACGTACCCTTTCTCTTAATAATGTTTGGGTACGTTCCCTTTCTTGTTGCTCTCTTGCAACTCTTTCCATTTCTAATCTTTCTCTTTCTATTCTCTCTCTTTCCATTCTTTCTCTCTCTAATGTTTCTTGACGTACCCTTTCTTGATGTTCTCTTTCAATTCTTAATAAATATTGGGTACGTTCCCATTCTTGTTGCTCTCTGAATATTCTTTCTCTTTCTAAAATTTCTAAACGTTCTCTTTCTTGTCTTTCTCTTATTAGTCTTTCTGAACGTTCAGATTCTCTGATTTCTCTTTCAAAATCTAATATTTCTTTTCTGAGAGCTTTATTTGCTTTCTCCCTTTCTGTTTGTTCTTTATCCCTTCTTAGAATTTCTAGTACCAATGTATCTGACTCTAATGACTGGTTACTAGTATTATTATTAATATTGTTATTATTATTATTATTATTACTATTATTGGAGGTAATATTAGAAGGATTAATGTTTGGGGTATTTCTTTCTTGTGTTTCTGAAGGTGTATCTTTAAAAAAAAGAGATGGCAAATATTTTACACCTTTTTTGGATTTATTATTATAATTATTATTATTATTATTATTATTAATAATATTGTGATTAAAATTATTGATATTATTATTTTCATTATAATTATAATTATTATAATCATTATTATTATTATCATTGTTATTATAAATTATATTATTATTTTCATTACAATAATTATTATCATTAAAATTATTATTTCTATAATAGTTATTATAATTATTTAAAGTATTATTATTATTATTATTAAAATTATTATAATTATTAAAACTATTATTATTTAAGTTATTATTATTATTATTAAAATGATTATAATTATTGTTATTGTTATTGTTATTATTATAAATATCTTTATAATTATTAAAATTATTATTATTATTAAAATTACAATGATTATAATGATTATTATTATTATTATTAATATAGTTAAAATTATTAATATTATTATCATTATTATTATTATTTTTATTAATTTTATTTTTATATAAAATATAGAAACAAAAAATGATAATTAAAAAGAAAAAAATGAAAATATATAAACTATCCATTTTTTTTTTTTTTTGAAAGTTATTGAGACAAAAAAATATATGAATACAAATGTAAAGTTATTTATTTGTAAAGAAAAAAAAAAAAAAAAGAAAAAAAAAAAAAATTATAGTTTTCATAATTAAAAAAAAAA